GAAAATTTTTTTGGGGGGGGAGAGGGGGGCAGGGAGGACCCCGCCCTTGAAAAAAAAATGGCCACCATTAGGAGACCCTTTGGCCCCCGCTCCCTTTCGGTAGTTGCAGGGAAGGGGGGGGATATTAAGATCCCGGGGGACTTCCCTCCCCCTATCGGAAAAGGGGTTTTTCCGGGGTCCGGGGGTCCGCGCCCGCGGGTTTTTGTCGGTGTTTATTTTAGACTTTTTTTTTTTTGGTCCCGGGAAAAGGTACCGGTTTTTTTTTTTTTTTCGGTTTTAAGCACTGTATCCTTCGGCACCCATTCATGGAAATTACAGCAGTGGGCCCCGTCCTCCTCTCATGGGGGGGGGGGGGGGGGGTAGGTTTTTTTTTTTGGTTCCTTTTTTGGGGGCGGGTTTTTTTTCGCCCCCCCACCCCCTCCCCCCCCCGCGAGGGAGGGGAATTTTCCCTTATTTTAGGGGGGGGGGGGGGGGGGCATAGAAGGTCCGTGGCAGATGTGCTCTTGGTGTGTTTTTGTTCAACTGTGCCTTTACCCGCAGCAGTCTTGTGCTTTCAGTACGAGCGAGGTGTTGAATGTGAAGTCGAGGGAGAGGGAGGGAGGGAGGGAAAAACACAGAATCACCGGTTATGTTTTTCGACGCTTTGGGGTGAATTCAGACCGCGTTCGGTTTCATACAGGAAGGGGGGAAGGAACATCCAGCGAACTATTGACGGGGGGCGTCGATATATTCTAGCTCGCAAGACAAGTTCAAGCCAGTGTAATCTTGATCCCGTGAGAGGGAGATACGGGGGGTAGCGAGAGAGAGAGAAAGAGAGACCTACACACAGAGACAGAGAGCGTTCGCGCGGCAAGTCGGTTGAGCGACCGAAGGCCTCTGCGGACGGACTAATTAGTTGTGAGAAGAGGCTTTTGTATTTTTGTCGTTTTTATTTGGGGGGGGGGGGGAGGGGGCTGTTTTTCATATGCATGCGTAGGGGGGTGGGTGGAAGCTCGTGAGAAGCAAGAGGGATGTCTGAAAATTCCAACACGGACTCGACCGGTGTTTGACCTCCTTGTCTTTGCTTTTTTCCCTCCGGTTTGTTTTGCTGAAGACCCCCAAACACGACAGCTAGCTGGTTGCTCGGCCGATGTGCTGGATCATAGCGGTGCGGAGGGGGCGCGCGCCATTGGACCGGTCTCGTTTTGGTTGGGTGCGGGGAGGGTAGGCTCGTCGTGAAATTTCGCACCAGTGAAAAAAGTCGGGGTTGTGATTGTTGTCGTTGTTTGTCGTTTGCTGCTGCCTGCTGTTGTGGGGGTCGTTGTCCTTGTTGACTTGATCCTCGCACACGATAAAAGGGCAGCTCAGACCTAAATCCAGCACGCCGTATGCTGTGCCGTGAAGGCAAAGAAGCCAGTCTCTGTGGCCACACGGTAAATTAAGAGTTAACATATATATGTAGCAGATGGACAAGTTGGTGTGGACCTTCCTGTATTTTAGGGTCTGCTGTATCGTTGGTACCTTATTGGTTTGTGTGCTTTATTGTACTCAGTCTTTTTTTTTTTTTCAGGGAGGGATGGGTCGTTTTTCCTTTGTTGGTGTTGGGGAGGGGGGGGGGGGGTCCGTGGTCGCACAGATCTTTCTATCGTTTCTCTCTGTTCGTTACTTAGGCAGGCTCCAAAGGCGCGGCATGGCAGGGCAGGGCGGAGAGCCTGCATGTCTCGCATTTTCATGCCCACCAAACATTGCCGTGGCAAGGATTTTCTTGTACATGTGTGTATTTCGCAGAACCAACCGCCGGGTGCTGCCAAGCTCGGTGGCTGCGCTGGTAGTACTTAATTTGTGCGTGTCGTCGCGCTGGTGCGGCCAGCGACGGCCACCCTGTGTGTTGTAATTTTGTTGTCGTTTCTGAATCAGCTTTTGTCCCGCCTGGCTTTGGTCTTCCAAGTATTTTCATTTTCTTAAACCAGAGAAGTATTCAGTTTTTTCCCTAAAAACCGTACCATACCGACTACCAAGCATCTAACTTCCCACTGAATCTCGTGTTCTTCTTGTTGGTTTCCAATAAAGTTGTTTTGTTGTTTTTGGGCCCAGAATAAGGCCCTGTAATAGCATATCAGGGTTGTTGTGCATTCATACATGCCATGCACACTTTTTCACCCAATTGATGGTGCCAGAAACACTGGCTGGCACCAGTCAGTTCCGCCGCCCTGTCGGCCAAGAACATGACATCCCACCCCACTGAGTTGCAAGGCAGACTGGGTGCCCACTCGGTGTGTTGGCCGGCGTACATGCGGCACTGTCGTTCTTGGGAGCAGTCAAGAACAGGCGCCAACGACAAACAAACAAGCGTGCACAGTTATCACACGAAATTACCATCTTGCATTCGTTTTTCTTCACGCTGCACGTGCACACACACACCCAATCGCATAATTGGCTACGATACATACCTCACCGAGTTTTGTTCACTCCCCTCTGTCGGGCAACGATACGAATACCGTGTCCGTCTGCTGTTTCCTCTCCGAACATATCAATGCGCCGTTGATGACGAGTCAAACCATTACACAAACACTGACTTGCTTGTTCAATTCTGTACCAAAACGACAGTCACTCCCCGAGCATTCTGGGGCTTGCAAGACTCATAATTCATTCGTTGATCCAAAACAAGGAACACATTTATGCGCCATAAATAAAGTCCCGTGTCATGGAGTTCCAATCACCCCACTGCTGTTACGCCCTACGGTCGGTTTATGACCGCCAACGAGGGGGCCGGCCTGTGAACGGCGTGTGAGGTTTCATGGGCGCTGATTTGAAAAGAAGAATAACAACCAAGCAAGTTGTCTCATCCTATCGGACCCGCCAATGCAAAGGTGAAGATCACGGATGGTAGAGGCAATATCGCTTGTCCGTGCGAACAAGACGGCGACAAACGGAACAACAGCCACAATGAAAACAAAGAGGGTGTCGACGACACTCGCAACGAAGATGGCATAGGCAACAAAAAACCACCGACACAAATCAAACTACAAACGTAGCAACACAACAGCTACATATAGTACAGGACATGAGTAGATGGGGTCGGCAAACGTCCTTGATGCGAAGTCCACTATAATTTGTCGGTCACAGAGGGCACTTCAGCCAACAATGAACCCAAACCGCGACATCAGGAGTATTCGTTTATGATCTGTTAGGATGATGTATGAAGGTTGGTCGGTTGTGATTGGACCCATAATTCACGAGTGAGTGCGACAATCCAGTAATAAAGATGGTTATGTGTCTAACTTAGTCGACGAGCGGTTGGAGTGGCGGAGGCACTGATGCACGTGTTTCTGCCGTTTAGCATCATCTTGCAGGGCCACAGGAATGAAATCCTTTCGTGGCGTATGTTAATAAAACGAAATCTCTTGCCTGCATTCTTCAACCGGCCACATCCCCCAACAACGCCACGCCCAATGATTGCCAGTATTTCACCTGCCGTAGAAATCACCCTCTGAATATCGTTGCTAAGGGAGAAACAGAAAAGCTTAAACCACGGGAGAAAATGACAACCCTCGAAGGCATTGCGTGGTCGAATACCCGACGCCCGTGTTTTCTGTGAGAATCCTTGTCCGGCCGGGTCTCGAGCAGGAACACCCACAAATTGCTCCACGCAAAGCAGGGCATTCAGCACGAAACACCAACAATGACGAAAAGTCGCGAACCGCCGAATAGTGCGGTGAGCTGAGTCTAGACAACACAGGTTCTGACTTGATTCACTCGTCCTTATTTCATTCGAGTGCTCGTTTCACTTGTGTGCTTCCACTGCAACAATAGTATCGGTTGATTGCGTCAACGACCTCTCTCTGTATAGAGGGATTCACTCTCCGAGACCGTGAAATGAAATATAAACTAACTACATTTTGTAGCTTTATTCCCCGTCACTGGGTATGCATTGTGCAACCATTCTCAGCTCAAGGCAAGCCCTGCAACCGATCAACAGCCCCAACTTTCAATTGCAGAGGAGTGTCAAGTGAAAAAATATGACGGTACCCCTCCGGCTGGTCATCGTCGTCATCTTCGTCGTCATGCCTCTCAATTCTAATCCAACTGATTTCGGCCCCAAGCCCGACGACTTGCGTGTGCGCCCTGGGGTGTATCGTGGTGGTCGTGGTTTGGAGAGGCCCCAGCCACGTGGGCAACGCACAAGCGCGACTGCTTTGGGGCTGAACGATCGCAAGCCCACCATCATCGCCAACCGACATCGCCAACAGGCACCAGTTACGCCGCGTTTCGTTTGAAACGTTTTCTCGTTGCTCTAGGGGTGTGGCGAGGAGACGCCCCTGTTTCATTACAACAGTGATTGCTTGGCTTGATCCATCACGAACTTGATTGATTGCAGCCTAGATCGCAAGCTTTTGCGTGCCACAGGGAGCGCGCAAGACGAAGAAATCGAAAGAGCGGATCTACAACATCTGCAACCGATTATCCAGCCGACAACAGGTGAAACTCGAGCCGTGATGTTCCATATACTATGCGCGAGGGGGAGGGAGAGACAGAGAGGGCCCTGCAGAGAGCCAATTAGCGGATAGGTTGCAAGAATCGTAACATTATTCATACAACATTGGATCAACACTAGACCGCCGAGGGCTACAGTACATAGTGTTCAGCGCTGTGCAAGCTTGTTGATCAGAACGACTTTCCGTTCAATGGGGGTAGCCTGTGCAGTCCAGACGACAAGGTCCAGAGTTTGTGCGACCAACACAGCGCTTGCGTAAAAGGGCAAAAGCAGGCATCATCATAGGTGTACCCCCCCAGGATGCCTTCTCCAGTGCGCGGGGCAATACCGGGAACGTGGCCGACTGTACCGCTCTTGCAGGCGATAGCGTGGTATGACCAAGAGGGATCTCTTCGATACATTTGTTACAATTTTCCAACAACTCTTCCTCTTCTTCTGTCGCCCCGCGCGGGCTTTCAGCTATTTATGTCGCCCCCCCCCGCCCCCCGCCCCCTCGGTGTTTGCCATCGGGGTTGGGTTTTCGTCGCTTGGCAACGACGTTGTAAAAGAAGCCATTTCACTTCGTGAACTCGGCAACCAAGGTTACCGTTTTTTTTTTTCTTGCCTCTGTTTTTTTTTGCGGTAACCATGAATGGTGGTCGAGTAGATCATGTTGTGCGGGGTGGAGAAACCTCACTCCGCGCAAGGGGGATGATCGCACCACGTTGTGTTAAAATGGTCATGCATCCTCGAGGCAGTTACACAGTGCTTACAACTGTCTCTGGAAGTGAAAGCACCAGAAAATAAACTAAGTCATACGCAGCTGTCATCCGTACGCAAGGAAGTAAGCACAAGATGCCGAACACCCTTAGCAGGATGCAGCTCACCCTTCATGCGACTCGCCGAATACCTCACGGCGCTTCGCGCTTGGTGATGTGAGAGCCTGGTCCGGTGAGAACCCGGCGTGCTCCGTCCCGGCTTTGTAGGGATGCGAGGTCAATGGTCTAATGACTACGGCATGCACGACTATGAGTACCCCCCCCCCCCCCCCCCGGGCGGGAAGCACCCACTCGGAGTTTGGAGTGGTCGCACTCAAGGGTTCCCTTTCTTTCCGGGGCCCCCCGTGTCCCTGTAAACACAACAAGTGGCTGTGTTTTCCTGAAAGAACCCCATTTTATGGTCCTTGACGGGCCCAAAAGGGATATAAAAAAAAAACCTGCCCCATTTTTTTCTTTAGACCTACAACAGCATCATAACACATTTCATTGTCACTGATATTGGTGAGGGAATGGGTGATGACACCGGCTATCCTTGTGCTGCAGGGGCATGGCGCGATGGCTGGCGCTACTGAATAATCAGTCCAAACCAAGACCGACGATCATTGAACGATATTTTGGGGGAAAGCCCTCGTGTCGGGCATACCCAATAGCCAACAAACCCCTCCCTGCCTATGCGGCCTCCCACAGGAAATTGACCAATCATGCAGAACACGGAGATCAACTTGGATAACTGCACGTACCGCGAACTTCAGCTACGGTCGATGTATCTCGGTCTCGGGGGTGCCGGAAAGCGGGGCGCCGTCATCAGGAAGATCCGTGAGCATTTGGCCAGGCAGGGCCTCACGGGGGCTGCTCTGTTCTCCACCTTCAACCGCCAGGAGCTGTTCGACGCATGCAAGTCGCGGGGCGTGAAAGCGTCGGGGACGAATGTTGAGCTCGTCGCGCGTCTCGTGGACCATGAGGTGGGAGGGCTGAGAACGAGCGAAAAACAGAGAGAGAGAGAGAGAGAGAGAGAGAGAGAGAGAGAGAGAGAGAGAGAGAGAGAGAGAGAGAGAGAGAGAGAGAGAGAGAGAGAGAGAGAGAGAGAGAGAGAGAGAGAGAGAGAGAGGCAGAGAGACAAACAGACAGAGACGCCGATTTTGATGTGCTGATGTGCACGCAATAGGAGTACGGTCCTGCAAACGGGTGATTCCCGTTCCGTTGTGCCGGCGCAGATGCTCCAAACAATGTGCAGGAAATATTAGAGTGAGCCAACGATAGAAAACCGGGAAAATCCTTCGTCTACTAGGTCAAGCTGTGCTGAACCAGGGTTCCTGAAATAGTTTGGAGAGAAAGCACGTTCGATGACACCCGCTAAGCTGTGAACCGTCGATTGAGGTGGCACAGCCTTCTGCGTTTTGCAGGCTGCTTATGCTGGTTGCCACCGTTTCTTGGCGTTTGCCAAGGCCTCCCTCCTTTGGTGCTTCGGTGGCCATCGAGGGCTGTGTGGTCGACTTCGCGAAGCAGATGGCTATAAGTGCCACGCTTAAGAGCATTCGGGAAGCGAAGGCACCTTTTGATGGGACGAACACATATTCAGATCAAAGGGCCTCTTGCTTGGATAACATCACACGAAAATACCGTGATTGGAGAGGGTCGAGAACCTCGAACTTGCATAATCGGTGTTGAGTCGCAAACATTCCTTGGCCGGAAGGTGACTGGTCTAGTGACGGACATATTTTGCAGGAAAAACCACAAACACGTCCGCGTCGTATACTACGTTGTGTTGAATATTTCAACCTCGACTCAGGTATGTGGTACAGTCGTACAACAATTTCTTCGGGTCGTTTACCTGCCAACACGTGGTGTTTCGCACCCACCCTGGCTTAACAAGCGTATGCGTTGCGTTGCACATTCCATCAATCGTTTGCCCTCACGCAGCGCCAGGTGGACCAAGGTGGCAGGAGGTCCTGGTGGAAGGGGGTCCGAGCCGGACTGGTGAGGTTCAGGATACTACTGTAGCTTTATCCAGATGGTAGAAGTCCAAGCGCATAAGCTGGGAGATGGAGCGTAGCCCATCGTTGCTCCTCTTCACTTCGGCTTGCGTTCTCCGCTGTGCATGGGAAAGTACCGGCCAACACGAACCCCCTCCCTCGCTATTTGTTTGGCAGTGGCTGACGGGTGTCCTCGCCGCTCTGAGCGTCACCGCGAATGTCGCCGCCAACCCGGCGGCCTTTCTGGGCACAACAGCCCCGGACAACGCCCAAGACTCGTCGGCCCAACCGCTCGACATGTGGGCGGCAACGTTCGAAGGCGCTTCTTCGTCTCTCGTGCCCGGCGCGGAACCGTCTTCCGCGCCGGCGGCCTGCCAGTCGGGTACGACGGCTTTTGAGGCGGCGATCGCGCCCCCGCACTACGAGGACACTCCCACCGAAGATTCTCCGGTCGACGCTTCATCCTCTGCTGTGATCGACGAAGCTGTCGTCTACACCGGGTACCGGCGAACGGTGGCCGTGGAGGCGGTGGTCTCTCAAATCGACGACGGCGGGGTCAAAAAGGCCTATGATGAAGCATGGCTGGTGGTCGAGACCGTTCAGAACGCCCCGATCCAGCTTTTTGCCCAGGTACGATTGACGGCGCAGATTGGTCCTTGTCCGTGAGAGTTGAGATTCTTTGCACTTCATTCCCTGCACCTGCAGACGCCGGCTAGGCCTTTCATGCTGCCAATGGCATGACCTGACTCGATCTCCCGGAGGTGAGGTGGTTCTAAATAGCGAGAACTGCTCGGTTCGCGGTGCACTCAACTAATATTCATCGCACGGCAGACGTCTCAGCCCACCTCCTCTTCGCCTACAGGCGGTTCACAAATCGAGAACCTTGGTTGTCGCGTCATGCCAGTCAAACGCGAATCTGAATATTGTTTTAACTTCATCTTCCCCGACGCTGTTGATCCTACAATAATTATTGCAGGACCACCGTTGTGGTGGTGACGTCGACGGCGGCAGCGGCGGCGGTGGCGTGATGAATGCCGGTTGTGTGTCAGAAATCGCCGCTTCTCTCGAGATAGAACAGTCCCTTTCCACCACAAGACACATAGACGCAACGGAGCTCGCTGTCGAGGAAGAGAGCGGGGCTGCGGTGCCGGCGCCAGCAACCCGACTTCAGACGCCTTCTGCAACCCAAGAAACTCCAGCGATTCCTGCGACCACCACCTCTGACTCTCCCGCCATTGATACCAAAGGCGAGTTTGTCGTTGTCGTCGTCGTCTGTTGTTGTTGTTGTTGTTGTTGTTGTTGGATCCTTCAAGATGTGCGTCCTCGTACATTGTCACGACGAACAAATTGGTCCCGCTAATCACATCGACATCACCTCCTGGCAAATGACCCTCGCCAACTCCCCCCCCCCCCTTCACCCCCAACGGTCCTCTCGTCGTTCCCGCGCTTGCCAGAAGCCTTTCCTACACCGACCACCGACTCCACTCGTGCGAGCACCGTTTCGATCGGCTTGTCCTACTCGGACAACCCGGACCTGACTATGCTGGCAGCTGATCGCGGTGAGTGTGAGGAAGTATCCGCGCGCTTGAGATTGTCACAGACATCAAAAACGACGAACCTCCGGCACAAGTTCAGGTTCAAGAGGGAAAATGTAGGTGGTTTCCAGACGAGGGAGACTTTCTTGTAATCGTTTGTGTCGTGCAGACGAAGGCCTACGGACGGTCGATGGTTGAATTGCCAAAAATCGTTTGAGACTAAGATTGGCCGGTACTCTTCATCACACGAGCTTTCGATTCCAGTTTGCTTTCTACGTACCAGTCGCTAGCTTCAGGTTTCAAAGAAAAATCTATGGCCGTGAGCAACAGCTGCTCTTCGATATACTACGTTCGGACACTAATTCTGTTGCGTAGATTTTCACCTGCCGTTGATGCTAGCAGACCCTCGCAGACTGAACGTCTTCCGCGACCTTGCTCTTTTACCTGAAAAGCTCCAATCTGATGAAAAACACAAGACTTGCTTTGCGCCTTCTGTCTTATTGTGTGCCGAAGTGCCAGAAGACTCAGAGTTTCCCTCCCTCATATCGGTACACGAACAACTATTCTCTACAGCACTGGCAGGCATTAAAATCAACGAGCGTGTCGTCATCTAGCTTAGCTTCGGGACGACTAAATGTGCCTACCAGGGGCATCGTTATCGCCGTTGGAAAGAGTTGCTGGTGTCTTCATATTTGAAGACTTTCCGCCCTGAACCCCTTACCGGGTCTTCCGTGTCAACGACATTCCGACCTGTACCCCTTTCTTTGTCTTCCATATAAGCAAGGAAGGCCCTTACACGAGTGCCAATGCTAGGAAAACGTCAGGTCAATTGGTGAAAATGAGCGCTTAACACATGTTACGAGGGCGGGGGATCCATCGCCAATATCCTCGCCATCAAGTTCCACAGCTTTCTCGGTTGATGAAGCATAGTCAGGACTGTTTCGTCGCGCCTCTTCTGAACGTTGGATCCCCGACCGATTGCTCCGCCTTTCCCTCTAGCCCGCACGTGTGCGGACGACTATGGTTTCGGCTGTACGATCGGGTCCACCCGTGTCACCGAGCCGACGGTCTGCATGGGGCCTTGCGACGCTGTCCAATGCTGCAAAGATGGTGAGTTCAAGGCTGCTGCCTTCACGTTGTTGCGGAATAAGACCGTTGGAGACGAGCAGGGACTGCCAAGACGCAAACCGAAGAGGTTCGGGCCGAAAACATGTCGAAAACGGCCACAGAAAACACGCAAAGAAAGATACCAGACTTTCCACCCAAGTGGGTCATTTGCTCTCGATCACGGCTGCGGTAGAGACGATGGAAGTCGCCCCAACCTCATGGCCTGGCAATGTCCCCGCCCCCCTCCCTTGGTGATGTGATGCGATAGCCTGGTCCGGTCAATGGTCTAACGACAACGGCATGCACGACTATGAGTACCCCCCCCCCCTCCCCCCCCCTCCCGGTGTTTGCCATCGGGATTGGGTTTTCGTCGCTTGGCAACGACGTTGTAAAACAAGCCATTTCACTTCGTGAACTCGGCAACCAGGTTACCGGTTTTTTTTTGCCTCTGTTTTTTTTTTGGCCGTAACCATGAATGGTGGTCGAGTAGATCATGTTGTGCGGGGTGGAGAAACCTCACTCCGCGCAAGGGGGATGATCGCACCACGTTGTGTTAAAATGGTCATGCATCCTCGAGGCAGTTACACAGTGCTTACAACTGTCTCTGGAAGTGAAAGCACCAGAAAATAAATTAAGTCATACGTAGCTGTCATCCGTACGCAAGGAAGTAAGCACAAGACGCCGAACGCCCTTAGCAGGATGCAGCTCACCCTTCATGCGACTCGCCGAATACCTCACGGCGCTTCGCGCTTGGTGATGTGAGAGCCTGGTCCGGTGAGAACCCGGCGTGCACGACTACGAGTAGGGATGCGAGGTCAATGGTCTAACGACTACGGCATGCACGACTATGAGTATTAGTACCCCCCCCCCCCCCCCCCCCCGCTCCTCGAAACTCCGTCCCATCGTGCTCCCGGCAAATCTGAAAACCTTCCTCCACCGCCACCAGTTGTGTCTGGCACTGACGCCACCTTCACCGACCTGGTCTACTCGGAAGACCCGGACTCACCCTTGTTGGAGACTGATGACGGTAGGGGCGAGTAGTGATCCCCGCGCTTGAGGGTAGAAACATAGAATATGCAACGGACCTCCAAGAACGTGTTGAACATCCAGAGGAAAAAGCATCCACACGATTGCAGACCAAATGGATCGCAAGTTGCTGGAGGTAGGGTAATGGCGCAGACGAAGGAGGCGCACGCTTACATTTTTCGTCGTGCCTTTCCTTGTTATGGACAGGGGCAGTGGTCATTAACGACCCCCGGCCCGACAACGCCGTGGACATCCCTTCAGCCCCCCCGCCCCCGGCCGACCAGCCGGCGACACCCGGAGCTGCACCCGAACCCGGGAACACCTCAATGCCCACCAAGGAGGCGCCCGATGCCGTCCCTCAGGATCTCGAGCTTGTGACTAGCAATACCGCGAGTGTTGTCGTCACTGACGCGGTGACCGGGGTTGCCGGCGACCCGAGGGCTATGGTTGCGGAAGCCGCCGCCGCCGCCACCGCCGCCGCCGCTGCTTCTGGTGATGCTTCTGCCGCTCTGCATGCCTTCGTTGAGAGTCTGGTGATTTCGGGGGTCCCGCTTCGCATCCTGCCCGTCGATGCACCCTCTGCTTCCACTTCGCAGCTCGATGGCGGCCGGTGAGAGACTCACGTCTAAAAACACCCACAACCATTCCGAATTCCACGATGTTACCACGCAGGGCGCACGGTCCCCGGTGCATAGTTTGGACGTTGGGAGTCGTTGTTTCGCCGTCTTTTCTTTGGTGCGTGCTGCCACCGTTCACGATGCAAATAGTGTTTTCTTGAACGACTGCTAAGAAAGCTCTTGCTGTCGTTGCGGTTGCGACGTTTTGGCGGTTGTTTTAGCTGTTGCCTCTGCTCTTAGCTGTTGCCGCTGCTGTTCACTTCGTTTGTCTTAGCACGTTCGGGGTCTTATCAAGCACTCAAGCACCCCGAACCAACCCCATGCCTACACGCGCGCGCGAAATCAAGTAGCAGCACACACCTGATCCGTGTGGTGCTCCCGTTGGCGATGGTGCTTCTGGTGCTTTTGGTGATCGTGCACATCTACGAGGCGAGAACGCTACGGAAGTCTATGCGCGAATTTGTCGAGGAGGGAAGGACACTCGCACACGCCACCGACAGCCGCGAGCTAACTCACTCCCGGCCGGTGACGGGCGGCGGCGGCGGCGGCGGCGGCGGCGGCGAAAACCAGCGGCTCTGGCAGATGTTCGCGTGGTTCCTGACCAAACTCGGGTCTCACGTGGCCACAGTGACGATGATGACCGAGGTCTGGGGGGTCCTCGCGAGGCTCGGAGGGCGGCTGAACGCCGGCGAGGTCCGCGTCGGGCTTCTGGAGTTCGACCTATCGGCGATCCAGGGGAAGGTCGCGGACGCGGTGGCGCGGATGGCCCTGCAGGCGCGGAGGCTGGCCTCGGTCAAGCAGAGCGTCGGCAGGATAGTGGTGAAGCAGAAGGGCGTGGTCGAGACCGTCGGCTTCGTTTCTCGATCCGTTTCGGCCCTGAAGAACGGGCTCGCTGACCTGGCCAGCAGGGTCGCCGGCCTCGAAGAGACCTCCCGCAAGTTGGACGAGCTCGCCCGCCGCCACGACGACCTCCAGAACTTGGTGGTCGAGATCGGGAAGAAGATGGCTCTGAACCGGGCGGAGGCTGCTGGCTTCCGCGGTAAGATTCGCGCTGAGTCGATGGCCAGCAGGGCCGACTCCGATGCTTGGCTGCGCAGCGTCGAAGACGACCTCAGCGCTCTGCAGTGCGCCTTCGAGGAGAGGGCTGAAGGGAGGGAGACACGTCCCGCGGAAGGAGCAGGAAAAGGAGGAGGAGGAGGAGGAGGAGGTGGTGGTGGAGGAGGAGGAGGAGGAGCAAGAGGTCCCGGACGGGGTACGGAGATCACAAGGCAAACCGCCGAGGTGAAGAACACGGCCGGGGTGACGGGCGAGGCGACCCCGCTGACAATCAGCGAACTCATGGTGTAGTTGGCGCCGTAGTTGGAAACCGGTGTGCCGCACAGAGAGTGTTTGGTTCCTGTGCCCTGCAAATATAATGGTGGTGCGGAAAAAACCGTGTGCGTGTGACAACAAAGCCACATGACGAACGCGCGGGGTGTGTATACTGTTGCCTCTCTTCTGGGATTTTTTTTGTTTGGTTCCTCTTTGATTTTCGTGGCCATTTCTCTTTGATCGTGTTTGTTTCCCGTTTTCAATTATTGTAGAAAATCGCTGCCGTGGTGTGCAGATTGTTGAGAAATATCTTACAGCGGTAGATACACTACTTATTATTCGTCGCCCTGTGCGTCAGTAGCAGCAGCAAACGCATGGCACACAGGTTTGCGCACGGTTGCGTCGCATTAAGTACGCTTCGTCGCGTCGCAGGACGTACCTCATGCAGCCGCCAATGTCGCTGTAGGCTAATATCCCTGACTTGTCCGTCAAGCAAGGCAAAAACAATATCGAGCCATATTTACGCGGATATGAGAGCTGAACGGAGGAAGTACAGATCCACGTTCGGGGCGTAACTTGTTGAATAATTGTTGGTACTGGTTGTGTCTGCGCCCCTCTGAGAGCTGGACGAAAAAAGGCATACATTGCGTACCCGTCAAGGACAAGATTGTAGGGCTACTGTATGCAGGCGGTTCTCGTGGACCATTTCGCTGTGTATCGCAGAAGATGGCGTCTGGACAAGCTCATCAGCCTAGGAGAACATATGTTTTAGACTCGTCGACAACGCTCGATCAATCCCCGCGAAAATCCATTCGCGTTGGAAGACAAGACAAAAAAAATAGTTCTCACGTCAGGGTATTCCAAGCATCATATGTACTCCCCAAACCCAAAAACAATTAATTAAATCAAACAACCCCATATATAAAATTAAACCCAAAAACAATTAATTAAAAAATCAAACACCCCCATATACAATTTTTTATACATACATCCGATCCAGGGTCGAAAACGTACTACTGCTGTAAGTTATCAAGTCACACACAGAGGTTGAGGCAAGGGGGAGAAAGAGCGCCGGAACGAACCGCGGCAACCGACGACGTAGAGGAGGTAGGTGGCAGCACCGCCAGCAAAGGGCAGAGAGGAGGAAGAGCACGCAGTTGCCTTCTGGTGACGCGCCGCAAGAAAGAGTATTCTCTGCTTCTACTTGAGAGAGCGTGTGTGACTTCGATGTGCCCTCGCCCCCCAAAAATCACCCTCTCCCCAACGCTTGAAATGCGATACACAGCACTTCGTACAGGGCTGCCGGGCATTATGTGTACTTCCTGTCGCTGTTCTGGTGCGGGTTCGTGTGCTGGGGTTAAGGGGGCAACACAGACACGCACACGCATGCATGCACGCACACTCAACAGCAGTGGGAGCGCTGTGATCAGGGTGTAGCTGTCACGCAGCGCACCACAAAGAACAGCAGTACCTGCGAACAGGGGAACTTCGTTGGGTGACTGTCGTCCCACAGCCAATCACATGAAGCCGCCTAAATCGAAAAATATTCGACTGCAGGAAGTTTCCAGGAAACTTTCTTATCTCAAAATCTGTTTCCTTATCTCAGCAAATTTGGAGCCCCTGTCCGAAACTGTGAATTGAACTGTTATAAAATTCCTTCGGGTCGTACTCAACTCGAATTTGTTTTTCTCGTCATTAACTTTTTTGTTTGGGGAACTAACGGCAATCGCTTCCGCTTGAGGAGGTAGAGCCACCCAAAAAGTTAGTCAAGCAAAACCTCGTGCCCTTAAGAGCATGTGAAAATGGCTTGATTTGTTTCCCCATGATGGGTTCCGAGCTAGCGTTGGCACATTTTCTTGATTTTTTTCAGAGAGCGGCAAGAAATGGATCTATAGCTCTTAAATTTTGCACGAACTTGCGTTAGGTCACGGGGATCCCGAAAAATATCTATTTCTTCATTTTGTGATGATGGCGAGTTATGCACGCTATATGTATGTGGGTAAATTGAGGTAAAATCGCATCCGCAGGCCCCCCTAGAAAAATTCAAACCTCTCCAAATCATATGAATTTTTCAGGGGTAATGGGTGCAACACTCTGCTGAACACATTTCCGAAGTCAGGAATGAAAAAACATCTTGTGCGCTACTTACTACGCCCTTCAAAGTTGATGCTTGCGACGAGCCACAGCTTTCGTTTAATTTAATCCTCTCGTGGCCTGCACATAGCCGCCGTCCGCCACGATCCTGAATTCTTGTATGCACTACAGGTGGACCTCTCGCACCAGAAGGGTCTGGACCTTCGACTGGTATTTCTTGCGAAATAGGTAGCTAACTAAACTTGAACCCGCACAACAGAAATCCCTCGCTTCTCCAACCGCTACCCCTGTCAAAGATGGGCTACTTTCTGGAACGTTGCGTCTACATGAAATAACGGTGTCGTCCGGAGGATGGCAATTCACTCCACAGTTCCCACTGGTGGGTTTCTCAGACAGAGATATTGCGAATTGACTCCCGTGTCATGGCCACACTGGAGGCTGCACACAGAGACCAGGCACCAGAATCCGAAGACTAGATGTGCGCCTACATTTATTTCCGACCGGCGCGCAACCAGTTACACGGAGTGCTTCGCGCATTGCAGGACCACGGTCTTCTCCGTCCAACAAAATCGCCTAGACAGGCAGCAACCAAGACACCTTGCTTTCAAGCTGAATTGCAGGACCCACGCAATGCGGGAGAAGCTCATAAGCACCGCACCACCAACTCAGAACGCAACCTAAATCATGCAAACGATTCTAAAACATCAACACGCACCAACAGGGGGTGTCACTCAAGCGTGGCATGTACATGAGGTTCTAGACGCTTGTGCTGCGCCTCAATTCCATCCCTTTTGAGATCGTCTGTCACGCTTGTTGTCTAGAATTCCACAAGAAGAAGCTGTCGAGAAAAGGGGTACAGATCTCCTCTGCCCCTGCTTCAAAGCTGGCCGCAGTCAACGATCTTGATCTACAGAGACGAAACCGCCGACACCGAGAGGAGAATGAGCGGAAGCGGAGGACGAAAGGGCAAGGGTGAGGAGAGAGGCGCGCGGAGGGGCCTTCAGGATCGTGTAGAGGCAAGTTAAACGGGGTTGTTCGTTCCAAAAAAACGGTAAAAGCGGGCGGGGCCCCGAGACGAGAAACGGCCGCTTCCCAACTGCATACTGAAAACTTTCAATTGTTTTGCCGTCGAACCCGCTTCGCCAAGTGTTCCCTAATCCGGAAACAATCCAAACTTTATCGAGGACAACGCACCGTTTCAAACGGCCCTGAGCAAAAACAAACATCCGAAGGCATCCCCCCCCCCCATAGTATCAACGACCACGGCTGTTACCGCCAACACAACGCCAACGCCGACAAATTGCATCGCCGCTACCCCAACCGACGTCGCCGCTAACGGCAACAGGCGACAGAACAAACCGACAGACAGAAGGCCACGCCGAACGCTACACATGTAGCAGCTTACCTTCTTGCTGGGCTTGCCGCCAGAGCTGCCGAGCAGCTCAATGTCCTTCACCGTCCTGGCGCCGTCGACCACCTCGCCGAACACAACGTGCTTGTCGTCCAGCCAAGGGGTCTATCCACGGGACACCACACAGATAGCGTACACGGGTAATCAAGAGGGTTATTGCTCTAGGTTTTATGTCGGTCCCTCTTTCAGTTTTAAGGGCGGCGCATCGTAGCTGGAGACGGAGGGAGGGCTGTTCCTGTCCGGCGTTGACCCCACCTCCGACCCAACTTTTCGAGTAACCTTCCTTCTCGAGTGTGACGACTGTCCCGCTATTCGCTTTTTCTTCGTACAGGTGTCGAAATGGCGGTGCAAAAGTTGAAACCGTAATTAAGCATACCGCACAACATTTTTACTTTACAGGCAGATCTCGATTCCCCGGTAGACATGCGCCACAAAAGGCCGACGCCGTTGCCTTCATAAAACGACCGCCGCTGGCACTGCTGTTTCACGCGACACTCGTAGATGTGGGTTGGTCAAATAAGCGCACAGCTCCCCCTTACCTTTGCGACGCAGATGAAGAACTGGCTGCCGTTGGTCCCCGGCCCGGCGTTGGCCATGCTCAGCACGCCGGGGCCGGTGTGCTTGAGGTTGAAGTTCTCGTCTTCGAACTTGGCCCCGTAGATAGAAGACCCGCCTGTGCCGTCAGCGTTGTCGAAGTCACCACCCTGACACCAAAAACGGGGAGGGGGGGCACGGTGTATTGGTCACACGTTCCGCCTTTCTTTCTTTGCCCCTTTTCTTTCTCCCTCCAACCACATCCTTAGCATACAACATCATCGGCAGCAGCCAGGTTAACAAAATGACGCCTCCCTAAACAGCGCACCCTTGTGCCGGTTGCGTTTGCTTGACGACCCCACAACGGGCGGGCGGGCCACGGCAACGAGTACACACGGCAGGTGCGATCTACAGCAGTACGATCGTCGCAGAATCATTCCCCTAATCCTCATGCCCCTCCCTGTCCTTACCTCTGCGACCACGAGCGTGGCACATAACGTGTCTCTTTTCTGTTTCAAGAGCGAAACAGGTTTCTATTTTCTTCGAATACACCACTCTGAAAATATAGGGACCGTCGGGACACTCACTTCTGAATCCAACAGGTCCCTACAATACCAAAGAGAGTGGTACGCCTACAAATCACATAGAGGTTGCCCGTTTGAGATACAGCAGTACGTCGTGCGCGTATGTACCTGGAGCATGAATCCCGGGATGACCCTGTGGAAGATTGTGCCCTTGAAAGACTTGCCGTCGGGTGCCTCCCCCGTGCACAACTAAAACAAAGCAGCGCACACGCGGGGGAGGGGGGGGGAGCGAATTAGTTCCCCAACGCAGCAGTTACACACCCGACAAGCAAGGTCGGGGATGAGTGTGCGGTGTGCTATAGATAGAGAAAGGGCGAGCGATAGAGCGATACACTTTGGGCTGATCGTTTTGGTAAGCGCGGCGCTTTGTTCGAGGCTTGGTGGTGAAGGGTCGAACCAAGTGCCTTCCGAAGCCACGCCGCACGGTGTTGTGCTCCCATCCACCGTACGGCAGACTCCACGATGCGCGGCCTAACTTTACTTGGTTTGGGATGGCATTACATTGACGCACGAGCTTGGGTCACACAGGAAGAGGGGGGTTATTCACCAATTCTCTATACGCGAGATTTTTTCAGCAGCCCGTCTTGCCTATTTTGTTATGTTTTTCTCACGGCAACAGTAGCTCTCTATTTCAAGAGAGAGCCGTGGGATACGTGCCTGCCTGCCTGCCGCTGTGGGTCCAGAGACGTAAATTTCCGGCCGTCCCACCCCCATTTCCCCTTTTCGCGGCCTCGATCGACACACAATATTCTCCCCACGGACCCCCCTCGCTCAGCATATTACCCCACGTCTCTTTGGCAAGGTTTTCGCTTTTGTTTACCACCTGGACGTACGTAGCCATGCCCCTTTCCACCGCAAACCCAGATCTGGGCGCATGACGGGTTCCGACCTGTACCAGAAAAACATCATGAAATGTGAACCGCAGGGCGCCTGCACGTACCTAGAATTTGTATCTACGAAAATGCACATACTCCTTTTTGATTCCTTGGTCAGCCGGTTAGCGCGCGGTGTCGGTGCAAAACAAGAAACAAACGACACCCACGCGCACCTGCCGGAAGTTTTCGGCGGTCTTGGGCACCACGTCCGACCGCAGCTGCATCAAGATACGGCCCTTGTCCTCGCCATTGATCTCGATGTCGAAGTAGACCTTCCGTGAACAGATCACATTCATCGCCATGGAACGAAGCCCAGCAACCGAACCCACCAGCCAAAGCCCACACACACGAGGGTTACAAGGAAACAATTAAAAAAACACACATACACGAGATACCAACAGTACGACGCGGCGTGACACTTGCCTCGGGCGCATCGATGGTGTTGCGACAGCGACGTTGGCAGGTTTATGCATACGTATGCATAGACCAAGACGAATAAGGAGCACAAGCGAGTGCACACGAGTTCGCGGTGTGCGAGCGAGCCAACCCATCCGGCAGAAAATCGTAAACGTGCGAGAGTCACACACGCTTGTAGACGCAGCAGTAGCACTCAACAACAATACCCGAGAAGCGAGAATCACGAAAGTCTACATACATGCGCATACGTACGTACAAGGTAGCAGAGAGGGAGGAGGAGAGACAAAAGTTTATGCATTTAGTTGGCACGTTGACGCGATTCGCTCAGCCCCTTGCTCTCTTCGACGTCCTACTGGGCCGGCCGAAGCAGGGGATGGTTTAGGCCAACCCCGGAGATACGCGCACCGCAGGCGAAGAAAAAAATGCGACAGGGGCAAGATCTTAGAAAACGGGGCGGGGCTTGCACGCGGCGGCGGGACAAGAAGCGGCGGGACAAAAAGGGGTACCTGGGGGTTGTACAGGTCGGCGGTAAGCCCTCGGAACAGCTTCAGCTTCACCCCGTCTTCCGGCGCGTCCATGAGCTTCTTCATGCCCTGCGCAAGAAAACCAGAAGAAACCACCCAGAAAACGAAAAGCGAAAAGCGTTTTCTGCATGCGTGAGCACAACCGGACTTCAGACGTCTTCCGCCCGCGGCCTTCCCGACGTGACGTCGACCGACGCTGCTGCTGCTGTGCGGTGCGAGCGATTCACTGCTGTCGCATAGCGAACAACCTTTCAGGCGTTTCGTGGTCCGCCTACAGTAGCAACGCGGAATAGGTCAGCGCAAGGAGGGTACTGTACTCGGTGAAACGGTCCCGACTCGCTCCGGCCACACCGGCGAAGGGACCCAAGCCAAAAAAGCTTCCGCGCGGCAGGCAGGCGACAAGATGGACAAGAGTGTGGCCGCTGCTATTTCACCTCTCCCTCAGCAAAAAAAAAGAATAACGATCACATCGAACGCAAAAAATCAATCGTGGTCAAGTGTGCACCCCGCCGAAGACGTGGCCAAAACATCGAAACCAATACAACCGATCGAAGTGAAAGCCCGGAAAAACTACGTACAAATATATATCGGTCGACGAAAAAAAATCGATTGGCCAATGAAGAAAAAAACGGCCGAACCTGCGGCGCGCGGCTTCCCCGCCCCCTTCCTCACTCACCTCGTCGAAATCGATGCCTTTCACGTTCTCTCCCTGCACTTCCAAGAGCTGGTCACCGACACGCACGGTGCCATCCTCCTGCGTGCGTAGTTCGAACAAGCCAAGGGTTGTGCACCACATACATGTGCCGATTACTCACGGAGCCCCGTCAACAGGCAACAAAAGCACATTCTATTGCGCGCGTGGAAATTAGTGTTGAGATCGGCGCGGTTGGCGGCGCTTGGCGGGGGGGGGTGCACGTGCAGATACGTGCGTCCTTATGGACACAAGGTGCGGGGGGACGACCCGTCAGGTGAACGCATGCATAGTAGTGTGCAAGCAGTGTTTTGCACGAAGAGCCGCCAAGAAACGATCAAGGTACTTTGGTTGCCGCTGATAACAGCCATATTTTTGGCCAGGACTTGGCACGTTGCGAGAGAAAAGATCGACCCCCTTCGCGCCAGGTACCGGCAGGTACTTTATCGTATGCCAGCAGGCGTCGGCATCCGAGGAGAACACCAACAAACAAACAAAAAACCCATTCATCGCGCATGGATCATGCATCAGAGGTCCTGGCTGCGAAAAGGAATAAGACCTGCGTTCCTCGCCCAGTACAACTCTCATTCGAACCGGCAACGGGACCGAGAGTTAAGTACTTCGAGAAGTAGAACGCTGGAGAGAAAAATGCCAGTCCACGAGTTTTCTTTCTTTTTAGTTCATAAGGCACGACAACGACGGTCATAACCTCTCCCCTACTATCACACGATAAGCCGCCAGCTGACGGCCACATCCTCCCCCATTCCACACACACAAAAAACTTATCTCCCGTGCCTGCAATCCTGGGGGGATCACTAAATCCATGTTGTCAAGGCCTTTCCCCCCCGCCAGTACCTGTGGTAAATGGGGAACAATCCTCAACGGCGATCTGCTCGTGACACTCTCGTAGAGCCTTGGGGAATAACGCGAACCACCCTGTTGAGCAGGAACGTTGAGGCGCCGGTCTTTGTGCAGGCGAGGGAGTGCACAAGCACCGGTGCCTCAACCTTCGTTCATAACAGGATGGTTCGAGTCATCCTAAAGACACTACGCGAGTGCCACATGCCGAAGATTCTGCCCCGTTTACCACAGGCGCTGGTAGGGGAAGGGACTCTACGAGATGGATTTGGTGATCCCCCCAGGATTACACGCAGGGGATGAAGAGGAGGATCTGCGCCTGCACCGAGATGTCACAATCGTCAACCCACCTGCAAGTAGAAGCATCGACAAATCGATTCATGCGCCAGGATCCGCCCTCGAAGATCGAGCTGCAAGTAAGGCAAACCACTATGCGGGAGATTTCAACCCGTCTAGATCTACCCTCCTTGTTGCTACTTTTTCAACGTATGGTGGTCTTGGCAAAGGCACCCAATCGGTTAATCTTCGCAATGGCCAACCATCTGGCCTACAAAAACATTTTTCCAGGGGAGACTTCGGCGACGAATCAGCCTTGCTTCGCCTCAAGGCTTACCATACCCACAGAGTTCGGAGACGGTGTGCCTTTGAGCTAGATCGTTTTCTGCCTGTACGAACTCGTGACATCTTCAAACAACACGGACAACTGGTCGACCAATTTCCACCACAACCAATGTGTTGGTCAATAGTGCGGGTGAAAAGGATGTTGATGGCAGTGAGGGTGGCTCTTTTGGGAGTGAGGAAGGAGAAGGAAAGGTAAGTGGAGAAAAGAGAAGGGTGAAAGCGATGATGGAGGAGGAAAGACGGCATGGAAGAGAGCAGGAGTATTGAGATACATGACCTTCCTCACAACAAACGCCGCAGGACTAGACAGGACCTGCCAAACAGTAGTGGGAATATTGGCGACGAGAGTAGCGGTGGAAAATGCAGGGAGGACGATGAAAGCACTCTGAAATGAACGCGCGTCCAAAGCAGTAGCAGCCCACGTGCCGTTTTCTTCTGCTACTGCTAGGTTTCTGTCTATAATCCGGAGAGTGGCATAGCCTCCCCCATGGCGTCCACCTCACGGGGTGCCAGACAATGTCCTTTAGAAGCGTTTTTTGTTTCCAACCGCACCGAGACTGAAGACGTATTTTCATTGGTCAGCCGGTTGGCGCGACCGGTGCTATTATAACAACAAAGACACACACACACAACCCACACCGACAGCCACAGCGGCAAGCATGCATGCATTCCACCAGCGTCACCACCCAACCCCCCCTCACCTGCGCAGAGCCACCGTCAGCTACCTCCTTCACCCTAAGCCCACCGAACCCTCCCACGTTTTCCTCGAGCACGAGGCCCATGGGCTTCTTCAGGGACACTTCGAGCTTCTCGGATTCGGCCATCCTCAGCCCCCCCCCGCCGCCGCGCCGCCGTCCTGCGCCAGCGGCGGTAGCCTCATTGGGGGAGGATGCTACAGCTGCTGGTCGGCCGCAAAAGACAGAGGTTGAGGCCGAGGGCGCCGAAGGCAACGCTGCTGTTCTCGCCGTCTTGAACGGCAGACAGAGAAGGAGGGGAGCGGACGGAGAGAGGGCGGGGGGTTGCGTGATGATGCTCATGTCTCAAGAAACGTGGGCGGATGATGGTACCCATGGTGCTTCTAGGAGAGTACTACAGGTTGCGCAATGGGCGCAAGTGGGGGATGGAGAGGCTAGCATTTACAACGCGTTGGTGTCAACAGAAGCCTCTAAACGAGGACAGGTAGCGGAGGGGAAAGGGGATGCTCAACTACTTGGTCTTAGCGATATTGTGGCGAATCTGAGCAAAGAACCAGTGACGCCGTTCGTCACGCGTGATGCCGAATTGCAACTCGGCAAGCCAACGACGCACATCCAAAATTTGCATTCAATTTGCATGTATGTGAGGGGAGAATGAAGTATATGATGGGGGTATGACGCTCGACAGACAAACCTGTGGAGCCCACGTTAGACCAATGACGGCATTTGTACACAATATTGTCTGCGGCCGCAGTTTGTGGTAGTGCCGACGCTTCTTCTGCAATAGACCGTTGCATTTGCATCTAACACATGGAGAGAAACATCACCCTGAGGTCCTGGCGCGAACTTGAACGTGTTCTCTACTACTTACTAAGCGGCTGTGTTGTTTTCACGAGGACGGCTTCGTAGGGTACTGCTGTATTTCTGTCGCCAATTACTCCTGCCGTATGGTAGTATTTCTTGTCCTAGGTTTGCTGCTACGGCAGGTGTAGACTTCCCTTGCTACAGCAATACCTTCGTTCATTCTGACCATGCCGATAACTTCTCAACACTACTGTGTAGTGCTGTTGTGTACCTGCGGCAATGCGGGGCCCGCAACAAGGAAGTCAACCCGCAAGTTAGGCAAAAAAAAAAAGCCCCGCATGAATCTACAGCAGTACAACGGGGTGTATCCGTCTTTCGCCGATCTTGAGACAAAAGGACAACGCGTCTCTCACACAGGTGCCAGAGACTTTTCCGGATACCACCGCCGATATATGTAGTTGGTTATCTCTGGTCTAACCCGATGCGGTCTAGAGGAGTACCAGTCCCGCCAGGGCGGTGCATGCAAACACCGGCCCAACCGTCCGTTGGTCGTTGGCTATTCGTGATTACACATGTACGACAATTTTGCTCACAGCTTCTCCCGTGCTATGTTCCCGGCAGGGCAGGGTTTGGGGGATGCAGCAGCCTTGCCCTACATACTTCGATACCTGAACCACATCATAGAGAGGTTTCATGTCAGCTTCGAGCGCAACACCGCCAGCGTAGGGAGACATGTACATGAGCACAACGACAACCGCAGCACCAAGCGCTCGCACCTGCAGCGATGGGAGCACGAAAGCTGAACTTCCTGCTACCAGCCATGCCGAAACGCCGGCGAAGGCGAACCTTGAGCTCTTCTGCCCCACCATTGTCCTGCGTTAGTCACGTTCAGTAAATCCTGGTCAAAGTGTGCTCCTCTCTCCGTCTCTGGTCTCTCGCTGCTCGTGCTCACCTCGTACGCTGTGGCCAAACCCTCGAACCTCCCCAAAACCTCATATTCCTCAGCTGGCGGCCCCCCTCCATCGATCCGCTTCACGGGCCGAACCGTTTTTAGTCGCTCCGCGTACGGAATGTCGCACGAATTCACGAATTTCACATCTCTGATCTCACATCCCGGGTCTCGGGTGTCCGCTTCTCCGCTCATGCGTAGCATGGCGTTTGCTGCACTTCGTCGCATCTCGCTCTAAAAGAAGACGAGAATATGTTGGCACCCCACGAGGGACATGATGCACTACAAATCGTATGGTACAACATTTTTCTCTGCATCATGAACAACCGTCACAGCGACATGGACCTGGACGAGCAGGGCCGCAACAACAAGAACAACGACACATCAACAGCATAACGAAAGTGCCAGCCCTTCATTGCGCTTCTTCAGCACACTTGGAGGTATCCTGGGATCCCTGTGACAGAGGATGCAATCGATGTCTTCGTTGCATCGTGAAACCGTCGAGAATAAAAGAGACAGTTCAGTGTGAAACCTGGCGATAAGAGGATACGACAGGGTACACGCGCGATAGCGCCACATCAGTTTCAGAATGGGAGCGCCGGAGCGCCCGGGTTTACATGATAGTATTTCCTCTCTACCACTGCCACTGCCGCTGCCGCCTGTGTGCCCCATTCGATGGCGACCAATACCACAGAGCAGCGACGTCCTTGTGGTCACTACGCCGCTACCGACCGGTCACGTGTTTGTGTCGGTTCGGCACGCTACCTCCTGCCTTTTGGGCTTCTCAGCAAGCGGTGTTAGGAACGTATTTCCCAGGCAGCTGCATCTCCCAGATTGCAGGACTCATGAGGGTCAAGCATGCCGACCGGTACATCTTTGTCTACGTCGTATGGGTGTCGACACAGCTGAACGCTCACATCTGCTATATACATGACCTTTCTATCCATCCTGAATGTGCCTCCAACATATGTAGCAATTACGCCCATATCTGGGAATGAATCCAGAAACTTCACCAATTCTGGGCAATCGTTGTCTGGACACCACACATCAGTAGAAGGTTGGACACTGACACCTACACCTGCCCCTTCTCGTGCGGCTACCGCTGACGTTGGCACCGCTGCGCCCGGCGATTTCAACGGTTACCGCAGAACAGAGATCGCCGTTCGGTCTCCATCGATCGATTCCCTCTATTCTCTACTAGTACTGGTAACGCACACTACCTCCAGACCATGGTCTCACCACAGCAAGCGGCGCTAAGAAGGCATTTCCCCGTCAGGTGTAGATCTCCAGAACCCAGGCTCATGATGGTCACGCATGCGCCGACGGGTCCATGGTCTACATCAGGGAGTTCTGCACTTGCTGGGAAAAAGCATTCCAGACCCCGCTTACCGGGAAGACCAAGGTCTGACGGTAATGTGAAGTATTGTACCTGCAGAGGAGACCAATGGGTCGAGGCTAACCGTCCCGTCGCTTCTCTGTGGCAGTGGTCGGGGTCGTACGGGGCGCAACGGCGCCAGCGGGCGCAGCGGAGGAACGAGCAGGAGCTAGGTAGAGCATACATTTTCCGCGTAAAACGTTATTCAACGTGGACGGGTGGCGCAGCGATAACCATTTCATTGGCATGGGCGGTGACTGGCGAGTATTCGCACGTGGGATTGTACTGTCGTTGCACTCACTATTTCCGAGACGGAATCGTCCCGTCGCTACCGAGGAACACGGTGAGATTTTTGACGCCACTACGACGACGTCCAGGTGCATAGAAAGGCACGCCTCTCACTTGGTTCGCCGATGAAACCGCGGAAGATACGACGCCAGGGGTTGGTCCCCTAAGGCCAAAAGGGAACGTCTACGACTACACCCAGCAACGGTTCGGGAGGCAGAGCATTATATACTTGTAGAAGCACGGCAGTGAAATGGCCGTGAACCAAATTGTATGGGGTGTTAGACCTTCGCGTTGCGCGAATGATTTCAACCTCTGCTTGACGAAGTACCGTAGCAAGATCGACGAAGCAGAAGTAACGAAGCCGTTGTTGCTGTACTTGGTACAGATTATACATTCGATGAGAAGTTGAACAGGGTTCAGTGTTCAAGAATGCCACAAGACTTGTTCCAGAACAACGTTCGTGTAGCAGTAAATGTGAGTACCAAGAACGTCATATTCGGTACTCAAAAGCACAGAGTTAGACGAAACCCCTGCAAAACCTGTTCTCCTCATACAGGTTGCGCTGGCTTCGTTGGGTATCCCAGAGTGTACGATTTGAGCGAGAGTGTTCGCAGAAAGAGAGCGAGCGGGAGAGAGAGAGACAGAGACAGAGACAGAGAAGTATGAAGCATGACGGCTATCACACGAAACTCTGTGTTTCAACGCGGGTTGGTGCCGCATGATGTGATGAGTCTACACGCCGAAAGCACGAGCAGCACCACTCGCCAAACATCGTTTAGTCGTCGATTGCATTTCCCCTAAACCTCGTGACAGCCACCATCCGGCACCGCGAATCCGTTTCACCAATTGACCCTCATACACGAGCTGCCCTCTCATGAGATGCGGGCTGTGCTTCCTGTCAACACCGTAGTCTACATATTGATCATGGTATGCTAGGAAAATGCACGGGATCGGCACTGACGTTCACTTCATCCTTTAAGGTTTCTTTATTCACCTGTTCGGCCGTGAACTGACCCACTAACTACAGTAGTCAGTTTTCTGACACCGAGACAAATACACTAGAGGGTATCCAAACCCAATTCCCGCACCTGCTACCAGCCCTTTCCGTCTGCTTTTTGTGGCGAATTTCCCCCAATGTTTTCATCCTCCGCTGGGGCGTGCCATTCTGCATACACAAGTTCAGTGATGAATACATCCACCAAAAGGTGCACATGCCCTACCGTTAGACTACACAGCACCAAACCAAAGGGTGGGAAAACTACACATTTGTTGACTCGCCATGCACTCCAGTCGATCTGCCCCACTGCCGTTGGCACAACATCGAACACATACTTAGCGCTACACACTCACCAAATCCATGAAGTCCTTTCTCGGCGGCAGCTATTCTTACACGACCGCCTTCGAGCAAAAGAGACATACGTGCCTACACCAGTCAAGAACACCCGTCTCTACCACTCTACCTCGCCAACCTCCCACGCGGCACGCCTTCGACTCGGGCATCATGGTGCCGCCGATGTAGGCATGACTTTCCACCTGAGGTGGGTGCCGGGGCGGACCACGTATCCTTTCTTTCGGACGACCTCGTCATAGTCGTACGCTGACGAAAACTTGGTTATCTTTTCGGTTCTTGCTTGACTGACGAGGAAGCCGAACACGACCTTTCCGTTGTTGTCCAATTCGCAAACCCTTACGCGGTACCAGACGTCCTTCACGGCGCCCCCCGCGAGCACCTTGGGCAAGAGCAATTCCACATCAGACCCCATGACGGGGCTCCCAAGCTCGGTTGCCAAGTACCGGGGGCGGTGGTGAGTGCTGCGACAGGTGCACCGGCTGCCGCAGCTGCTGCTCTTGGTCAGCCCTATCGTATGTAGATCTCCGACTGCAGCCGTATCGCGTGGCGGCGGCTGTTCGAAGGCGGCGGTCGGTCGTCAACACACACGAAGTGGGACATAGGGGGGCGAGATGATGGGGGGGTTGAGCGTTCGAATGACATATGTGGCCCGAGACCCTGCACGAACAGCCGGTCTATCTCTTCAAGGAAGATTCTATCTCATATACTTCGGCTACAGTACATGGTATGAGGTTCGATCAAACTTGAACACTCAGTTGTACCACTCGCTCGTATCCAATCTGCCTGGTAGTTTCGAGTGTTGAACCATTTGTACCTGGTCTTGAGCTTGCACATCACGGTGCCAACGTTGTAATGCAATGTATGTACTCGTCGGTTCGGATCACGGGATGCCGGTTCAAGGTTGCGCTGGTCATCTCTTCCACCACCTTTGCTTCTGCCCGCGCCCTGCAGCTGATAGGAAGGGCCACGAAGCAGCCATGTTGCCCAGCAGGCGAGTATGTAGTATGGCGCTATTCTCCAGATAAATCCGCACGTCAGAAGCGATGATTTCCGACACCACCTGTCGATACTCACTTTTCTGCCGATGAGGCATGGCATCGGCCCTGAGACCCTTCCCCCATTCCCGCTCCTGGTACAATTCCCGGCCATTGTCAAGCTACGGAGGCCGAACAGCGTAGAGAGGAAGGCGATTGCGACGGAAATAAATGAGTGAGAGTTATACGATAGATGGTCTACAGTAGTACTGCTGCTGCCGCTGCTGCTGCTGCAGTAGAGCGAGAAGGAGACGAGAAGGATGTGGGAAGGCTCGGCTTCAACAAAAATCTGGGGTCAGCTACATTACAGTTAGTCTACTACTGTAGGGCGTCACCTGCCATGGCGTCCATAAATCCACACAACGTCAAGCTGCCCAACGGCACCGTTGCCCGTGTACCTCGAGCGGAGCTTGAAGACCTTCTTGTTGTTCCTGTCGACAATAGACTATACCGCCAGTTCTCCTGCTGTTCAGGGACCCTGCTTCCCGCGCGTGCCTTGATGTCCCTGGACACAAGGAAATTCAAGGCGGCCTCCCTACACGATTACAACCGCAAGTCGGGCACAAGCGGAAAGCCAAGGCAAGAAGGAGGAACAACAGCCAAAAGGCCGACGATGCCGGGGAGGGAGGGGGGGGTCAACAGGTTGAACTTTGTTTGAGCAAGAATCATTCATAAGCCGATCGGTGCCTCGTGCGCAAAATGTAAAAGCTTGATGACGCGCGAACAGCAAAGCGCGACAGGATTATGCGATCTAGCCTAAGGGAGACCAAATGTATACTGGTTAGGTACGTACACCTCGATATTAAATCGCGTGATCCTCGCACACCGGGTTGTATCATCAATTGACCATCTGGTTGTTCGGCTGCCCTTTCTGCGCCGGGAACAGCAACACTGCGCATCGCCAGCCGCATGCGAGAGAATGGACGGGGAGGCACCCGTGAAAAAACACCACCACTCACCCATCTGTAACAGTGGTCCAGGGCCCCAGGCCAAGCTATTACCTAGGTTCACGCCTACGTCTGCCCGCCTACACGGGGCGGGGCGTGGGTCCATTCTCTCTCGCGCTCTGTCGCAAGCTGTTTCAAAGCACCGTTCTCTACGTCGGCGATCCTCAGCTGAACATGCAGGCCTCGAAAGGGGCGGACGGACCAGTTCACTCTTCTTCGGGATCAATGAGCGGGTCGGCCCTATCAACGTAAAATGTACTACTGCATGTAAGGCAACCGCTCGTGGGGCGGATCGACGGAAAAATACGTTGTCCGTAAGAGAGTATCGGGGCGTGGAACAACAGGTGATGCAACAAATCATTGCACCTTGGAATATGGACCAGGATTTCACTGCTCACGCACCTTGGTCACGGACGCGGGGGTAAATTCCTTCAGTATTCACTCACCTTAAGCATCGACGAGAGCGTCCATTCCTTCAGCATTGCACTGCTCACCCACCTTGGTCATGGATGAGAGGGCCATATTGGTGGCTGCTCACTCACCTCGGAGGAAACAGACTGCTCTGCGGGGAAATGGCTCGAAGACCACTACTTGTGTAGACTACTAGTCTACGCGATGAAGTCGAGCTGGCTAATCTACTGATACTTGCCTTGACGAGACGTCCTCTCGCGTTGCCCCTTGTAATGGTTGCTGCCCGCTGCTGCTGTCGCCGCCTCCGCCGCTGGAACTGCTGCTGCTGCTGGTGAAGCTTCTGCGTTTATTATCAATGGGGAATGGTGTGACACGTGGGAAGGACGGGTTGTTGCTTCGCTCTCGCGTTGACCATCTGATCCCCTTGTACAGCCGCTACAGCCTTGTACAGCCGCTGCTGCAGTAACCTAACATGGAACGAAGAGTCGTTGGACCCGCTATTTTCAATCCACCGGGAGGTGGATCGACAAGTTGCCCAAACAAGGCCACGTCTTACAAATACTTTGCCCATGGGCCCATCCAAGATTATGCATGCTTGGAGGGCCATACGCTCCACCTGGTATTGTGTCGCTTTTTCGCAGATAGGTGGCGCCACAGTCCAACAGGAAAGACGTGGCCTTGTTTGGGCAACTTGTCGATCCACCTCCCGGTGGATTGAAAATAGCTGTTCCAACGATTCTTCGTTCATGTTAGGTAACTGCAGCAGCAGCTGGACTTAAGGCTATAGTGGCCGTACAAGGGGATCAGATGGTCAACGCGAGAGCGAAGCAACAACTCGTCCTTCCTGCGGATCGCACCATTCCCCATTGCAAAAAAACGCAGAAGCTTCACCACCACCATCACCACCACCACCACCAGCGGGCAGCGGGCAGCAGCGGAAGCCGCGGGTACGTCATCGGCCGAGACCCCGCCGGTGTCAGCAGCACCACTAGCATCCCCACCGGCTGCGCTCAGTGACGATGGAACTTGGCACCACCTGCAACAGCGGGAGCAACCACCAAGAGGAAACGCATGTGGACGTCTGGTCAAGCCAAGTATCAGTAGCAACACATTAGCCAGCTCGACTAGACTTCATCGCGTAGACTACAAGTCTACACAAGTTGTTGTAGTGCTCTTCGGGACAGTTCCACCAAGAACAGCCTCTGTTTCCGATGTGTCCGCTGATTGGAGGAACGAGCCCTCTCGCCCAGGCCGAGGTGAGTGAACAGCCAACAATATGGCCCTTTGGTCCATGACCAAGGTTATAATAAGCGAATACTGCTGAAGGGATGGACCCTCTCGTACATGCTCAAGGTTAGTGAGTGAATACTGGAGTGCGAGTGTTTCAGCCATTTGTTTGGTGCATTGGCTCTCTTGAAATACTTTTCTATCCCCCATTGTGGTGCAACACCCATGCACGCCATGTTTTGGGTCATGGTCATTGATCCACGTTTCCCCTCTGCTGCCTCTCATACCCGGATACGCTTTTCGAAAAGATTATTTCGTCTCAACCCTTTCCTATTTCCAGCAGCTACAGTAGTCCCCATTCCGGTTGCTTGGCATAGCACAACCCTTTCCCATTTCCAGCAGCTACCGTAGTCCCCATTCCGGTTGCTTGGCATAGCACAGTCACCTGTACACACGACCAAGCTTTGAAAGTCTCGTCTCGCGGTATAAGGTTTCGTCCCGCTCATTGATCTCGTAGACGGAAAGGGTAAAAGTGCCGTTATCAGCTATCCTACTGACGACAAAGTACTGTAGATGCCCAGTGCTTCTGACCAGTCTGCGACCGAGCGCGAGAGAAAATGGGTCCACACTTGCGTAGCAGAGGTTTAGTAGCCATGCACCTACATATATGACGGTTTGGACAGGGCCTCTGGATCACTTGCCATCGATAGGCGAGTAGTGATGTCTCGTGGGTGCCTCCCCGTCCATTTTCTCGCATGCGTCTGAATCAGCATACTCATGCTATATGTACTTCAGACGCAGAAAGCGCAGCCGAAAACCAAGTGGTCAACTGATAGTCGACGGTCGTGCGAGCAATTGTCGTGTCTCACTGAGTTTTTCAGTAGTGCACGTACGATACGTTATCTCGTACCATACGCTTGATCTTCCAAGCAAGCAACAGGGTCCTCTCCGGTGCCTACGGCACGCCGCCACCACCCCCCTTCACAGCTTCTTGCATGAGAGCTCGCGCCGAGCATCCGGGGGCGCACTCCGGCCAAGTTGAAGGCGGCACAACATGGCAGGTTTTTTTCTGCGATTCATTCAATCGGAGGACCAACTCGCCAACAACACGGACGTACGGCAAGCGTGCCAGCGCAGTCGAACGCTTCAGCACCAGCGCTAAGACCCACAAAAAATACAACAGGTAGGACGCCTACTAATACGACGCCAACCGGCGTGTGAATCCGCTAATAATACGGGCTCCCCCTGGCCTGCCCCGGGAATGCATGGCCTACGGAGGAGGCCCATATTTTCAATGCCATCCCGCCTTCTATGTGCCCCGTGCTGACTTCATCAATAACTCTTACACCCGAGAGCGGGCCGTGACACATCCCGGTGCCAATGGGGCGGTCAGAGTACAATGCAGGGCACGAAGATGCACCCGTCCGGTAGGCGCCCACCCGTGTTGCAGAAAATAGCACGGGAGGGTTGTAGCCCATCCATATGGGTGTTACTTCTTCCCCTTGCTGCCTTTACCACCCTTGCCTTTAGGTTGCTTGGCAGACTTCTGGGGATCACGCTGCGCGATCTTCTTGTTGGCCTTTTTCTTCGCCTAAAGAAATACACGAGACACCGCAGGACCGAAAGGCGCACACGACCAACACAAGCACGAGTGGACGGAAGATTGGGGGTTAGTCTCAGCTGTTTTGGTGCTTGGGGGCGGCAACGGAACAAAAAAGAAGTCCGTCACCACAACCACGGACGCTCCCTTCACCAAGTGCCATGAAGCAGAGCAATGACAATAATAGACTGTCAGCACGGCCAACTGATTCTGCATTCCAGATGTTTGCCTCTCGAAAAACCACTTGCTGTCGTTCGCGGTGCCTGGCCCTCTCTCAAGCAAGCGCGTGCGCTTGAGGCAGCCCGAGGACAAACAAAACAACACCCATCGAACGGACGGGACGAAAAAACGCCTGGGCCTGTCAAGCGGGCTTCGCACCAACAAGCCCAACTGCTTCCCTGCCAGAAGGGACGTTCGGACACAAATTTACAGCTATAGGGAAATGGCGCGTGTGCTGTTGCGTTAAACAGATGGCGTTGCCGCTTATCCCTTCGGCGCCAAAACAATACCAGCCGAATATCGCCGCTTGCACCAGGGAGTGGACGACGAGAATTACTCTTTCGCGCATTCGCCGCATGCGCTATCAATTTATTGATATTTGCTGCCACAACTCCGTATTTGACACCGATTGAGTTGCTTCCGCTTTTCCTACTTACGTCCCTGGAAAATGTGCTGAAAATGAATACCGTAACCGGTTTTCGTGTTGCTGCAATGTATTTTCCAATTTTGGTTGGGAAAATGGACACAGTCCAAGCGGATGTCTCCCGGGAGAGTGGATCAAAGACGTCGACTCTCGCCCCATGGAGGGGGAGGGGAATGGCCAACGCGAAACCCGGGGGGGGGGGGGGGGGGGGGGGGGGTGTACTCATAGTCGTGCATGCCGTAGTCGTTTGACCATTGACCTCGCATCCCTACAAAGCCGGGACGGAGCACGCCGGGTTCTCACCGGACCAGGCTCTCACATCACCAAGCGCGAAGCGCCGTGAGGTATTCGGCGAGTCGAATGAAGGGTGAGCTGCATCCTGCTAAGGGTGTTCGGCATCTTGTGCTTACTTCCTTGCGTACGGATGACAGCTACGTATGACTTAATTTATTTTCTGGTGCTTTCACTTCCAGAGACAGTTGTAAGCACTGCGTAACTGCCTCGAGGAAGCTTGACCATTTTAACACAACGTGGTGCGATCATCCCCCGTTGCGCGGAGCGAGGTTTCTCGACCCCGCACAACATGATCTACTCGACCACCATTATGGTCACCGCCAAAAAAAAAACCAGAGGTAAAAAAAAAAGACGGTAACCTGGTTGCCGAGTTCACGAAGTGAATTGGCTTGTTTTACAACGTCGTTGCCAATCGACGAAAACCCAATCCCGATGGCAAACACCGCGTGGGGGGAGGGAGAGGTAAAAAAAAAAATGAAAGAGAAACACGGGCAAGAGCCGAGACACTCCTCAAAATGATCGAATACCTCACCTGGGTTGCCTGGGCTAGCCCGGCCACCGCCACCTTGACATCTCCGATCATGGCCGCGACGCACTCGTTGTCCGTGATACCCTTCATCAGTCCCTTCTGGGAGGCCGGCGTGTCTCTGGATCTCGAAAACACCTCTATCGCCTGCTTGGAGGCCTTCCCGCGCTTCTGCTTGCCGGGAGTCAGCTTCACCTGCGGTGTTCATGCGCGATTCCCGTTCATGCAACAACGGGGGGTTGTCGATGCGATTATCACGCAGTTACACACGATCAATGAATGACTGAAGTGATCACGATCTACTGCAGACAAAAAAAAGCAGAGGCCGCGATCGAAGGAATGAATTATTCTGACGAAAGCACCATCTACGAACGAGGACAACGGCAGAAAACACAACCTACGAGTGAAGGAAGGCTTAGCAACACACCTGAGAGTGAACAAGACAAAAGGAAACGCGATCTGTCAGAGAATGACACGAAAAAAAAAAACGATTGTATACGAGTTTCGTAAATGCACTACAGTAGGCAGCTTTACCCCCTCGTAACTTACCAAGACCATCCAAAACAGCAATGTGGCATGCGTAGGACAACGCAATGTCACCAGCCTCCAACGGCACGCGCGTGCTCGGCTACAAACCTCCTGGTACAAGACTTGGACAGGAAAAACAGGCGACGCCGTCATCATCATCAGGGCGCCTACCCACACGCTCGAAGGAACCTGTTGTCGTCTGTGCCGGCCTTCTCCCGTTCTCCATCCACATTTCTGCGCGCACTACACCCCCCGAAATCACCACTGCCTTCAGCAAACAACACTCGTACGTGGAACCACCTAAAAACATGCAACCCTACAACGTTATGCCCAACTACCTCGTCGAGATACAGACGCTCCAAGTCGACGAGTCAGAGTATTCCCTCAAGGCCAAAACGTCCCCGCCGCCTCTCCCGCACCTTGTACTTGTAGTCGCGCAAGCTCATGTACGGCCCGCAGACGGGGACGGCAAACAGCAGGACGTCCTCGTCCCGAGGCTTGCCGGTGAGCCTGTCGAGCTCGCTCACGCCACCGCCATCGCCGCCGCCGTCGAAGTCTTCGCCGGCGGCCCCCTCCTCTTCCAGAAGCTTCCGGACCTCCTCCTCCTCTCGCTTCTTCTGTGCTCGGCGGCTGAGAGGCTCTTCTTCTCCTCCTGCTTCCTGGTCCTCCGTTCTAGACGCAGCATCCCGCTGCTCCCCGTCTCCCTCGCGTTCCCCCGCTGCTTTCTCGCCGCCATGGCTTCCTGCCTCGTCGCCGTCGCTACCGCCGCCTCCGGCCCCCTCCTCTTCCTCCTCCTCCTCTGCCACCACGGGCGCCTCGTCCCCTCCCTCCACGGGGGACGCTTCTCCTGCCGCCTGCCTCTTTCCTTCCTCCCCCTCGTCTTCCGTAGGCGGGGCCGGCGGAGACACGCCCGTGGTAGCCGCCTCCGCCGCTTCTCCTGCTGATGCTGATACCGATGTAGCCGATTCTTCTTCTTCTTCTTCTTCTGGTGGTGGTGGTGGTGGTGGTGGTGGTGGTAGCGTTGCCGCGGCGGCAGGGGCGGCGGATTCGGCCGCAGCCGTGGACGCAGAGCCGTGCTTCCGCATGATGCCGGCCAGGAAGCCGCTCCGGTTGCGCACCCTGCGAAGGTCTGCCTCGGCAAACCTGCCGTGCGTGGCAAAAATGCGTGCGTTCGTTCATCACAAAGGGTACGCCAGAAGGTTGAGACCGCGCGGCGCGATCGCGTGCAAAAGTGCGGGACAGCAGTAGTGTAGGTGCTTGGGCACGCGATTACCTACCCGCCACGACACTGTGGCAGGCGGGTTGGCCATGAACAGGGGAACACGCACGAATCCACTCCATCAAGCCTTGCGGGGGAACCAGGCGAAGACCCACGCCCTAGTTTGGGCAGGGGGGGGGGGGGGGGGGGGGGGCACGTTAAAGGCCGCCGAAAGCGTCCGTACGGCGCGAACCTGACGATGGACGCGACCTG